GACTAAGATGCATTCTACAATTTAAAACCCACCAGTTCAGCTGAGAAAAATCCGGAAAAATATTTCGGAAAAAGACATTATTTTTATTTTCATGATTGGTGAAAATTAGGGTCGGCGGAATCGTAAACCAATTGAAAAAAAAACTTTGGCCTAAATAATGTACATGTATACTTTTACACATTAAAGGAAAGATAACTCTTCATAAAGGTATATTTAGTTCTACCTTAGTGAAATGATGTCACAGCAAGTGATGTAAACTTGACATTGTTTTCTTAATATTTCAATATCTCAGAATTTATTTGAGCTCTATGAAATTAAAAAATAAAAACATGCAAAACTTATATTAAACATAGAATTATTTTCTTTTTCTATAATTATTTTTCACAGAAGTACTTTACCAACTTCTTTCATTTTCAATCCTCATATTTCACATCGTCGCAAGCCATGAGTTTTGTGTCCATTCTATTTCCACAAACTGGGTTTGTGGAAGTAGAATGGATACAAAAACCCGTGGCTTGCGACGATGCATATTTCATAAACAGTATGACGTCATCATTCGAAGTATTTTATGGCATATAAACAGATCATAGGTGCTGGGGGACAGCTTCCCCAAAATTAACTCCGGGCCTTTTCCGTTTTCGACTTATTTTCTCATAAATTATCTGTCAATGTCAAATTCCTGATTTTATCTGCCCTATCAATTCGAAAAAATTGGGCCACGAATTTCACAAATTTGGAAGAGGCACTATTGCTCATCATATCTGTGCACTGAGTTTGTCTGCTAAATGTGGGACATTTTTTCCAAAAAAAAAAACAATATTAAAATAGATCTATATATACAAACGAGAAAGATCCTTACTTCATTGTTTTAGCTTATTCCACATGTTGGAGCTCAATTTCTACGTTATAGGGGACGACCATTTGATTCGGAAAAGGGGAGAGGGCTAATTAACAAATTTTGTGAAGTCAGGTTATTTATTTCCATGTCCTTTCAGGACACAATAATTATTTCCAAGATAATCAGAGACAGATTATTTATCTTCCTCATTGGAAAAAAAAACTTGACAAGCAAAAAAAAAAAAAAAAAAAAAAAAAAAAAAAAAAAAAAAATTAAGAGAGAGATTTAGAGGAAAAAAAAAAGAAAGTCGACCTAAACTCAAAAACTCTAAGATACTAAGATTATGACTATCATTTTTACGTGAAGAATAAAATAAATATAAATGTGTATTGCAAAGCAATGTTTAGCTGTAAAGATACATTATAGTTTTGCTAAGACATGGCCCCGGGTTTGGGCTACAATATGGGTCAATATTTTTCATTGAAGTAAAGAAGAATTTTATGAGATGCAACACAGACCAGTTTTAAGCGTTGTGGCCCACTGTTGCAGTCTGATTAAAATCAAACTTTCCACTAGCTCCTTTATTTTGATAAAGGATCAGACTGCCCAATGTTGTGGATATCTTATTCATTTTTAAGATTTATTTATATTTCACTTAATATAAACGCCCCCAATTACCCCCCCCCTTTCACCCGTTGCTCAATATAAATATGGAAATAAAAATCTAAGTATACGTATTATAACTGAATAATACAATAGATGGAACAAAAAAATCAAAATATTATTGCAAAGGCATTTGATTGTAAAAATACATAATTCCGCGAAGGATGATGACATTGCGTACGTTCCAGATGATTGTGACGTCAGAGATCCTGTGTAAACATTTTTTAAAGGGTCGATTCTAACAAACGGGTAAGTCAATATTTTATAAATATTTATTGATCTAACGAATATTTTAGTTCGTATTACCCATCTTACTAAAGAAGATACCTGGATAGCATCTTTCTTTTACAAAATCCTTTGTATTCAAAACTTGCCTCCGTTGACAACAAAAATAAAAATCTTAACGTTACACCATAGTAAATGTTCTGTTTTTAGATAGACAAGAAATTAAATAGAAAAATATAATTTTGAATTTTTAGTAAGGAAGATTATTTTTAAACATTTATTATTATGACGTCACTATACCACTGTGATGCCGTTGCGTCGTGGCAACGTCATATCATAGATACGGCGCCATTTGATTGCGATCGGACGTGCAAAAAATTAAGAAACCAATATTTTGAGATTTCAACATGAAGTTGAAAGTAATACTAACACATTGCAGTGCATACAAAGCAAGAAGGGTAAAGTTCAGCAAATTGCCTTTAAAAAAAAAAAACTTCAAAAGACATAAAATTTCATTAATTTTCTCAGTTCTATTTTTTCCTTTTTCCAAATCTCTAGCATTTTTAAGGGAAGAACTTTATTTCAAAAATACTGAAAAATCAATTTAATTATCTTTATTTGTTACTTATTCAGATTTAGAAAAAAAAAATCAAAGTAATAATTCAGAAATTTTAGGGGAACTGGGGAGGAGGGTGTCGCTTTATTGAATTCAAAAAAATAACACTTTCATAAAATATTCACAGTTTAGCCCTTACCAGAAGAAGGCAAGACCCAGACTACTAAAAAGAACATTCGTGGGTGACCATGATTTTCCACAGTCGGATATCGGACTGGAAAAATTCTGCTCACCTGAGAAAGAAACGACATTTGTCAGCAACAACATAGAAGGGACAGGAGCACTGTATCCTTTGGAGGAAGGCAATAGCAAGACAGACCAGCCTTCTCTTGGTGATGATTTAGCGGCCAAACAGTCGGGTACCTTATTGGGAGGAAACACTGAGGATGACAGTTGTGTTATTATTGGATACTCCCCTGGGAGCGACAAGACAGACCAGTCTTCCCTTGGTGATGATTTCGCGGACAAACTGTCGGGTACCTTAGTGGGCGGAAACAATGATGATGACAGTTGTGTTTTTATTGGATACTCCCCTAGGAGAGACAAGCCATCAGATCTACACAACAAAGATAACGGGAATAGCTCACGTAAGGACAAAGGTTGGAACCCTAAGCTCATCTTCGAATCTGAGAAGAAGGAGACTTCATCAGTCAGTGATGGCGATGCAACATCTGGTATCGCAGACAAGAAGAAACCCTCATGGTGGTCCCCGTGTGGTACTTTGGACTTCCTGTTCACACATTCAGAGGTTGACGAGTCCAACAAAAAATACCGGACGTGGTCAGAACTGGACACCTCAGAGGGCAAAGCTAGTTCAGTAAGTGAATACAGCATATTTCATCTTTATACTCACTGAACAAGAAATCAAGTTTTGATATTAAAAGGCATTTACCTAATATCGTAATAATTTTTTTTGCCTAAGATCCAAGTCATTTTATCATTATAGTTTCCTCCAAGAGAAAGCTATATACCCACTGATCAGGCGTGGTGGTATGCACAGAATGTCATCGCCACTGGTGTAAGTTTTCTTCATCTCAAATCATTTCAACGTAATACTAGTAGACCTTTCCATTTAACACGTTTACACTGCCACTTTTTGATGAATTTGTTAATTTTAAAATTTTAATGATGAGAAATATTACTGGCGTATAATTCTAATAAACCAAAAACTTATATTGTCAGTTATTCATTCAAATGATTCTAAATTGATTACAAATGATTCTGCGCCCACTTACTCTCAACGAAAAATATTTTACAGCGTGACATAATTTACAGACCTCTGGTGGATGAATGGAAGGAACGTATGGATGGATGGGTAAGCATATTTAAAAATAAATTTTACTTATCATCAAAACTATTTATTTTCAGATTCTTTACTACAATTATATAACGTAACAATCTTCCTAATTATTATTTTAAACTTGTTTATGTCCCCACATCGGAGATTCGGAGGCATATAGTTACTTTTAGGCCTGTCCTTCTGTCTGTTTGTCCGCAAAAACTTTAACTTTGGCCACAACTTTTAAATAGTTGGTGCTAGGGCTTTCAGATTCCCCATGTGTATTTCTTGTAGCAAAGTATTTCTTTTGGTACCGACATTTTTACCTCAAGACCTTGACCTTGAACTTTGACCTACTTTTGAAAAACTTTAACCTTGGCCATAATTTCTGAACGGTTGGTGCTAGGACTTTTATATTTCACATGTATATTCCTTGTGACAACATCTGTCTTTGATACCAACATTTTGACCACATGACCCTGGCCTTGGAGTTTGACTTACTTTTGAAAGAGATTAACCTTGACTATAGAATACTGCTGATCAGTTGGTGTTTCATATTCTAAATATGTATTTTATGTGACAAGACCTGTCTTTGAGTACCAACATTTTTGACCTCATGACCTTGACTTTGGAGTTTGACCTATTTAAAAAAACCGGAAGTATCTGGTTTCTCAAACATTTGTTTTGTTAATCTTACATTCGGTAGTGTTTGATCTAAAAGAGTAGACTCTACATTTACAGCATTTAAAAAAGTCTTCTTACACTTATTTCAATTACATGTATTATTTTGTTCTCTTATTCTAGTCACAGCTGATGCGCTTGATCAATGAATCAGAAACACGGAGACTGGTCCCTACAGAAGAATATCCAACTCATGTGGTAGGTCGAAAAATTGTATAGGTATATTTTATTTATTCGCAAATAAAGAAAGAACAACCTTTAATTTTTTTCAAATGCTTAATTAGCAAAAATATTGATTCACCAGCACACCCGCCCCCCCCCCCCCTTCTTCCCTCTTACCCTTTTAAAATTTCTTCGAGTTTATTGACATATATCAATGAGCTTTCTATGTTAAAATTCAAAAAAATTATTTTTTTATTTCAGTGTGAGTGGTTGGCCCGGGTTGATTTCAGACACGAGTGTGTGAGACAAAAGATAGACTACACACGACACAGACCCAAACGTCTGCGTGAAAAACCAGGTTTCTGTGCCAGACACCGGCCTTATGTGGTAGGGACCAATACAATTTACAATCTTTCCAAGAACATTTTAAATATTCAAACAAGACAGAAATTATACTGATGCAGTTAAAAGTTTGATTTTAATCTTCCAGAGAAAAACTCGTAAACACGGAGAAGCTTTAGGCAAAGTAGGTTGCATGGACCTCACCAGAGTGCAGTTTATTGACAACTTCTAATCTGGTATGATAAATTATGGTGCATTTATGCATCAAACGTATTAAATTATATACTTATTCAAACGTATTAAATCATATACTTATTCATAGATTTTATTCAAGACATAGTGTCACATCTTATTTCACATTTTTAATTAAAATAGAGTTTCAATTCTCAATGCATATTGTAATTCAAATAAAAGTCCACATCACGTGACCAACTCATATCTTAAAACTTTAGGAGAAAATGAATGCTTAGAAATACCTTATTCCTTAAATATTAGCTGATAAAGTAATATACTTTTCATATACTTTGTCTCAATTTTCTCAAGGTATATTTTATTTAATTCCAGAATTAAGAGAACACTTCCAAAGATATTGAGATGACATACTTCTACAAAATGGGACAAGTGTAATTCTAAAAATGACATTTGCAATTATATCAGTGCCAAATTAGTAAATGTAAAATCATGCACAATATTTATTTGCTTTATTCTGAAGTACTCTGGAGAACCCTATATTATTTGCTTTATTAAATAAATTAAAATAAACATTATGCATAATTTAATTGCTTTTTATATCACATTCCATTCATGAAATAAATAAAACAAGCATTCTGAGAGTATTGCATTAGCAATACTAGTCCCCTACCGGCAAGTGTAATCTGGTTCCGTTCCCGTTAAGAATTGAAAATGCCATAAGTCCGTCAAAAATTAATGAAGCGGGACGAAATGCAAACTTGATCTATAACTAATCAAGGTAAAGCAACATACCAAAAATCAGCTCAATATCTACAAGCGTTTAGAAGAAAATTGCGGAAAACCCGTAAAAATTGAAAAGGCCGTAATTCCGTCAAAAATCGATGAAGCGGAACGAAATGCAAACTTGATCTGTAACTCATCAAGATACACTCACCTACCAAAAATCAGCTCAATATCTGCAAGCGTTTAGGAAAAAAGTGCGGAAAACCAAGTGGGACAGACTGACAGACAGACAGAGGGACAGACAGACAGACAGACAGACAGACGGACGGACAGACTCAGAGGAAACCTATAGTCCCCTCCGGTTTCACCGGTAGGGGACTAATAAAAGTGATATTTTATTACTTTTCCCTAAAAACATTTGAAATTTGTAAATGAAAACATTTGAAATTTATAAATTTGAGATGTAAATTTTTTTATGTCATATCGACCCATAAGCAAATTTTAAATTGGCAATAATTTTCATTTGTTCAATCTTTTTATATAATTTTTCATTGATATTATTTTTAAAGCAGAGTCATTTTATTTGGTGCAAAGCATATAATCATATAAATTTAATTACTTTATCAGAGAAATTATGTACTTTCAAGAAATTGGTATTTCGTCGATATTCAGCAAAAAAAGGGAGGGGGGGGGGGAGAATTTTTATTTAATCTGTCTCGCGTTTGTATAATATATTGAATACTTCTAAACATGACATTAACACACGAAAAATAACAGTAACAAAACTGCTTCTCTGGGTTCTGTGTTGTGCTGCATAGCATATTCTTACTTTCTTACAACACTTCTGGTTGTAAGTCGCAAATCGTAAATAGGGTTCTGTGTGTGCTGAAAACGAACTTTTTCCCATTGAAACAAAACTTCCACCGATTTGCACTTTCGATTACTTTGCGGGTAAACAGTGTTCAAAAGAAAAACAAAAGTGTGTTACTAGTATTTAGAGATCCAATTTCTTACAGATACGCAATCTAGCACTTGTATGCATTGCTATTTGTGCTATTAAACAATCTGTCAGAAGAATTTCCATGGGTACCAATTGCGCCCCTTAATTTGCAGACCTATTTTTGTATTCATATGAAGCAGAATTTATTCAAAAACTTCTACGTGAAAAGAAAAAATCTCTTGTTGTAGCCTTCAATTCAACATTTAGATATATCGACGACATTTTATCAATTAACAATGTTCATTTTCACTCCTACGTTGATTCGATATGTCCATTTGAACTCGAAATAAAAGATATCACAGAGTCTGACACATCTGTTTCATATTTGGATATTTTATTAGAAAAAGACCTAAAAAGTAACCTAACAACAAAACTTTATGATAAATTTGATGACTTCAAGGTCAACTTTTCTATTAACTTCCCGTATTTATGTAGCAATATACCATTCACCTGCATATGGAGTCTCTCAGTCGATTCGATACGCAAGAACATGCTCTCCGTACGGACAAGTTCTAAAATGAGGCAGGCTTTGGACAAATAAGTTGATATAAAAAGGATATCAACAGTCTCTTTTAAAGTTATCATTTTGCAAATTCTGTGGTCGACACAATGCCCTTGTCAACAATTAAATCTATCATTAAGTGGAATGTTAACTGAGTTTTTCATACTGATTGTTAAGGCCATTATTTTCACACCGAACTGTCTACGGGGGTTTCCATTTGTTCGTTCATGAGCACATGTCGGGTGTGACCGGTCGACAGGAGATGCTTACTCCTCAAAGGCACCTGATCCCATCTCTGATGTTTTTAGAGGTCCTTGTTTGCTCTGCTCCCAGTTTGTATTATTTCAATGACTTTTTGAGCTTGATTGCTGTTCGTTATCTTCATATTTCATTCAAGAATTACTTCTATTTTTTTAGAATTTGAATTTGCTAGGATTCATTTCCCAGTAGTAATGAAGATAAAGAACATAAATATATTTATGTATACAAAATAATATTGCATAAACAATATTCAGTTAAACTCAACCCATTATATCTCTTGATCTATACAAAGTTTAACTCTCATTCAAGTCCACAACAAAAACTAGATAGATGGTTTTCTATAATCATGGGCTCGATCCATGCGCCTCTATTTGGAGAAAACCAAATTCCTTAGATATCTCCTCCTTGCAAAGTAAACCTTTCGTGAAAACTGGCAAAGGATATATTGCTCCAGCTGGAATTGGACTTATTGAAATATCCCCGTTTTCCTTCATATATTTCATTATATCGGATGGTAAAAAGGATGAAATTGAAATCTGAAGTTCTTCCAGGATTCTATGCATGTCAGAAACATAGGCACTGAGTGTCTCTTCTTGAGTAGATAGTCCATCTATTGCAGATACCTCAAAATTCCCCAACACTTGCAAATTTTTAGACAAAACTTCATCAACAAGACTCTTAAGATTTTTTGCCTGCTCTTGCATGGATTCTCGAATATTCTTCAAATGCTTTTTCATGTCAACAATGGTGCTTTTTGTATCCTCTAAAAGATCCTTTGATTTTGGGAGAATGTCGTCGCGAATTCTGCAAATATCTTTCAAACGCAAAGTTTTGTGTTTGGTGAAAACTTTCTCCAAATCCAAAAAATGGTGTCCTTTGTGAATTTCCGTGGTAGTACAAAGAGAACATACCACCTTCTGGCAGTCATTGCAGCAAAGGTCTATGAGTTTTGTTGGATGAAGCTTGCAATTTTCTTTCCAAAACATCATTTTTCGGTCGGAATATAGAGTAATTTCATGGTTTTGATTGTCAGGATCTAATAAATGTTTGGCTTTGCATTTTTCGCACATCCGCTGGTGGCAATTATTGCAGTAGAATTCAGAGTAGCTACCACAAGTAGGACATTCAACAAAGTGTTGAAATGACTTTAAATATGTTCCATAGTTCTCTAGAGAGTGATAAAATTTATTTATACATGTATAAGGTTGCCATGATGAAAATAAAACAGTAAACAAATACTGAAATACTTAATACATGTAGTATTAAATTTGACAATGTATGCAGAATTGAAATTGCGTTACAAAATTAAAATTTTTCCCATAATACATAGTACACTGAAGTTAAAAAGAAATCAACATATACCTTCAAAGGCCTGAAGCTCACCACCATCTTTTACAGAAGATTGAGTGGTTTTGGAACTAGAATCGGTTTTCTTGATGTCTTGAAGATAATCTTGACCTCCTTTATCTTGTACCAATGGTGTGGGGATACTTTTCATGATGAGTTCCATTGAAAATTTTGCTCGGGAAATCCCGTTTTCAGTTCCTTTGATGACTATTCCATCTTTCCCAATTTTCACATTTACATGTTCAGATGCAAGGTCGTCTTCAATACACTTAATGGCTTCGATGCAATGCATACTGAGATACTTCATCACGCCGAGATCTAGCTTCAAGGTAATTTCTTTGCTACGTACGTCTTTTTCAACCTTTTGGATAATATCACTTATCTGTTCTGAAACTCCTTGTGATGCCTGTTTGTGACCTACCACGTAAATTTCATGATTACTTTTCTCTAGGACAACAGTGACAGCATCAGGATTACTTACTACCAGAGACTTCAGCTCAGTGAACACTAAAGGGAATGCTTCCTGTAAAGTGGAATGTTTGATGACGACCAGAAGATCCAAAAATTTATTCAAATCCTCCTTCACTTTGGTTCCCCAAGTTCTGACCAGTTTTCTGCAATCTTTGGTTTCAGCAGTCAAGGTGCATTCTACAGTCAGAGAAACAGCTTTAGACTGTTTTGGCCAGACAGGTTTTCCATACACAGCCTCCAGCTGCTTTTCCATGACCTGCTGATCTGGAGGAGATTTGATAAGGAACTTTAACTTATTAACATCCAGATCTGTAAATTCCAGTGGTCCAGGAAGTCGGAATGGCACCTCCCAGTCATTTTCTACTTGTCCAAGGCATTCATAATAAATCTTAACATCAAGATCCTGACGATCAACTCTGTGTTGTCTTTTACTTACAACATCCGCAACTTAAAAAGAAAAGACAATTCATGCCAAATAACTAAAGCCTACAAATTTTGGAAATACTAGTATTAAAGGGATTCTGTATTTTTTTTTAATGATCACTTTTTATTTTCATACACCAAAATATTTAGGGGAAAGCATATACAGATCCTGTTTTTAAATCAAAAGAAGCTTAACATTTTGAAAATTAAAACATATTATAGCCATGAAATATTATACAGTTATGGAATGGGTATGAGGGAAATATCAAATTTATGGTTCCCCAAGGGAGGAAACTATTCGCCGCCGAGGGAAATAGTTTCCTGCCGAGAGTACCTATTCCATAACTGTTTTATTATACCGAAACAATATCATGGGAGATTATTAAACTAGAGACTCAGACATTTTTAAAACAATATAGAGGCATTTAATTAATCACAAATGCATGTGATTAAAAATACTGTAAGATTATAACTAATGCATCAATACCGAGAAAAATAAAATTATTAAAAAGTATAAGATACTTTTACTGACACTTCGAAGGATTATCGTTGTCTTCATTTTGCTTTATTTACATTTGCAAATATTTTTCTTAGATGAACCTATAGAAGAGAAAATATGTTCAATTCTGTATGAACTTATTAGAGGGTCAGAGGTCATGGCGTGACCGAATCACACAGCGAGACGATATCTTGTCTACATATTTCTGTCACCGTGACACTGCTTTCGGAACTTCTGAACCGTCAAAGCGATGAAAAAGATAAAATTATTGAAACATATATTTTTTTTTTCGTTCAACAAATGATCGTTAGATCTTTCTTCGGTGTGAAGAATGTTTCTAATTAGCCTAAAATCACGCTTACCTTTTTAACCCGAAATTCCTTTGAAGGTATGTAAACTGAAGACGATAGCACCGCTTTTGACTTTATATATAAAGAACTCGTACAATAATAGTAAGATAATTCCCAGTAGCGATCATTGTTTTTTCATTATGAACAGATATTTCCTGAACTGGACTGCTAAACATCAATGTATTCAAATGTTGGAGCGAGGCGAACTCTCAAGACCAAACAAATTCTAGGTCATTGCGCGTCACAACATAGCAATACGGCGGGCCGTTCGTGTAATAAATGCAGTTCTATTCAGAATATTCGTCTCAAATGTAAATAAAAGTAATAAACAACAATGTTAAAAAGTTCACTGGGAAATGAACTTGGTTGGTACGTGATCAAATCTTCTGAGAAGCCCTTCGGGCTTCACAGGATTTGATCACGTGACCAACCAAGTTCATTTCCCAGAGAACTTTTTAACATTGTTGTTTATTTCTGAAAGAATTCCAGTATGATTTTGACATCGCATGTCGAAATGTTTTGACGTCATAGTTACATTGCTATTAACATTACGTCACAGACTCGGTATTCCTTGAACGCTCCGCCCACTGTTCATTTTAATTGGTAAAAATTATCAATAAATATTCATGAGGAATTAGTCCCGAGTAGTGCTCAGATGAGTAAAGTAGTATCTTCTCAGGGAAATAGGCAATTTTATGGTATTAATTTTATATAGAGTAATAACAGTAGAGGTGTAACAATGAGCTTTACCTATTGTTTCCATTGAAATATGAATGTGATCTTTAAAAGATACCAAAGATTTATACATTCAATAAAATCATATTTAAGTATAAATTACCTTCTGGTTCCTCAAAGTAGACCAGACAAAATTCATCAAATAGTTTGATATCCAAAACCCCAGCTGTGACTCCACTAATTCTTTCATTATCAAAGTAAAACTCTAGGGTGTCTCGAGATGTCTTCTTCGAGACGTTCCGAAGAATGACACAGTTTGTGATGGGAACTCGAGATACTTCCAGATAGGACTTTTCTAAACTCCTTTTTTTACAAGCCATCTGTAATTTCTCAAAATCTGTGAACACAGAAAAAATGCAAAATCCAGAAGAAAATTAACCAATATTTCAAAAAATGAATACGGTACCCTACATGCTTAGTCTGTCCCACACTGTCGCTTCCATCAAGTTTTAAATGATATCAAATAAAGTTGTACTTGCTTTCATCATAAAAGCTGAGACATTAGAATTTCATCATTTCTAAACCAGTTTTAGCCAAGTTGCAGGCACGGATCAAGGATTTTTTTTCCCCGTGGGTGGGTTTAACAAACGTCAGACTCGGAATATTTTGACAAGCAACAAGAAGATTGATTGATTGATTGTTGTTTAACGTCCCTCTCGAGAATTTTTCACTCATATGGAGACGCCACCACTTGCCGGTGGAGGGCTACAAATTTTAACCTATTACCAGCACTCAGGGCCATTGAGCAGTGAAGGATCTTTTTCGTGCCAGCATCTACTGCGAGACGGGACCTCGGTTTATACGGTCTTATCCGAAGGACCGGTCTCCACGTCCCGCAGTGGGATTCGTAAGGAGACAAGCAATAACAAAAGAAGCGTGAACAACCTTTGTATAAAATCTGAAAAATCTACTTTGTGGGGGTTGGGGATAGAAGAAAACACTAGTTTTCTTCTTCAGAAACAGCCGTCACGCTCGCTTCGTGATCGGAAGGACGTGTTGTTCGAATCACGGCCGCAACTGACCCAAGTCGATATAAAAAATTGATAGCAACTGTTCCTTCGCCAAGCGCTCGGCATGAGAGGCCATTTTTTCGTTACATTTACATGTAGTTTAATGTAGAAATTTAATATCTCTGAACACCCCCGAGGGGATGGGGGGGGGGCACGGACCATGCACCCGAATCCCTCTAGATCCTCGCATTGATTAGATACAATGCAGTATTATCCTTGTTACATTTAACAGTTCAAATTTATAAAATGATTGGATGTTAAGATTGAATTTTAATACATTAGTTCAAATTTCCAAATCAATTAGGTTTTGAAATTTTGGATATCTGAAGTAAAATTCTGAAAACTCAAAGTATACAAAGTACATGTTTTGGTTATTCAAATTTTGAGTGTTTAAATCAGAAGTTTAAACTTCTAAAACGTTTTGAATGTTGATATTTAAAAGAAGTGTGCAGTAAATCTGCAATTATCAAAAGACGAAAAAGGAACTAAATTTTCTGAACAATAGATAGGTTAAAAACTCAAAAGTATAAATACAAAAATCGTTTTCTGAAATTTTAATTTTTAAATCTAAAAATATTTAAAAAAAAAAAAAAAAGTGTTTGAAAGTTGGATATTTTTTATCTTTGAGCTTAAGTACTATATTTCAAAATGCAAACTTCAAAATACAAAATCAGTCTGAATTTTTTTTTTAATTTAGAAATTTGAACTAATATATTAAAATTCTTAACCTAAAAATCATTTTAGAAATTTGTTTTGTTAAATGTTACACGGACTCAGTATGACACATTTTTTTCTACGGAAAGATGGGCGAACAATGCTTGCAAAATGCCAATAGCTCCAAATAAATAAAATCAAACTCAAATATTGGAACTAATTGTAGTATTTAGAGCAAACTTCTAATTATTGAAAGGTATGAAATAACAAACAAACAAAACTTTTCTGCGGTAATATTTTTTCCGCAAAAATGATTTCTTTTGATTTGAATGCAGGCGATAAAAATCCTGGCTATCGGTTTCTTTTCTTAGAGACTGTCATGCTAACAACTACCTCACAAAACTCATAATAAGTAGCCGCATTTAAATTCTGTTTATAATATGACACTTAGTCCTTCTCTGATGCCAGGCACCTCTACCAAGGGTCATGGATTTCACAAATTTGGTTGAAGACTAATTGCTCATTATACCCATGCAAATAGTTTGCTTGCTTTTTCCAAGAGGAGAGAAAAATATTTTCAAAATTGACATGAATTTTTAATACATGGCAAGCAAAGTCCCAATCTGAATCTGCCTTTATCCTGGATTTCCACAAGACTAGTGAGTGAAAAGAGAGTCTCAATGCCTTCATTGACCCTTTAAACAGTTAAAGCGACAGTACGGCTGCAAAATGTGTGCTTTTTCATCCAAATTTACCCAATATGTCATTAAGAAATAAGGTATAAAGTTGATGTAAGCAGTTTGAGAAACAGAAATATTCTCTACTCAAACAAAATTAACGTAATTAGAATCTGCCGGAAAATCAAGGGTCGTACGAACTGGAGCAATCTTAGATCTGTTTACTTGTACCACGTGAATTCTAAAACGGCACGTGCCTACACTGTAGAGTTTACAGTTATAATGAATATTACGTTTAAGCAACTTTCAAAAACACAAATTATCATAACTTTCCGATAAAAATAATCTAAAATAATAATCGTAAAGATTTTAGTCTGCATTCGGGCGAATTTAACAGAATTAAAAGTACAAATGTTTACGTTTTGTGTATTGGGGTCCGAGAAAGGAAAAACCAACTAATCATTCGTTATCGCGGCAAATGTCAAACAAAATATTTTTCTGCACAGTTAAAAAAAATTAGCATTTCAAATGGCAACGATGTTTATAAGTCAAAGATGTATTTTTTATGTTGAGTTTACACTATTTTTTTTCTTTGAAAGCGACGGAAAAATGAGAAATGATAACAAGTATCAACAAACCTGTCGAATAGAACCTTCGAGAGCCCTGCGTGATTGTCGCCGAGTTCCCGTTTCTTCCTTATCCAGCTATTTTATTAATCCCCAAACTAAATTTTAGTCAGGAAAGTTGCTTTTTCAAGTTCTTTTTTCAGTTTCTTTTTCTTTTTGGTCGACTTTGTCAATGTAGCAGGCCTACCGGGATTACCTCTCTAACCATGCTATTTTGTTTATGAAAACTACGCATGCGTGCATAGCATGGAATGTGGAACCCCGAACACGTTGCGATGTATATATTTACGTCCCATAAATAACTATTAATTTTAATGAAATTATCCAAATTATTTAATTGTAAAAGTTGTAATTTTCTGAAAGTTTATACATTTATGAGTAGTAAAAAAATTCCAAATCTTGTCGGAAAATTTTATCTAGTCAGTTTTTTGATGAGATGCGCCGTACTGTTACTTTAAATATTCGTGCAATGCCTGCATGCATTGGCCAATGATGAACTAATTCCCTTGACAGATTGTCATGAAATTCTTGCATTGGCTTTACTATAAAAAGATTTTAATTTTTTTTTTTTTTAGACATTGGTGATTCTTAGCGGGAATTTACAAAGAATATTTCAGTTTCGTAATAATCGTCACTGCATTGCAAGTTTATTTATTTCCAAGTGTTCAAATTGGTTTTTGTATTCCTTTAACGCTAAATTGCATTAGTCTATTACATTTTGAACAATTTCAATTGCATACGTGATTAAGATTAAATTCAAATCAGAATGAGAAGAAAATTGCAAAAAATTGAATGATCACATAGTCAATATTTCCGTAAAGACTTTTATCACAAGAATTTGGAAATGGCCAATTTAAATCATAAAATGTATTTCGGGATACTTTTGTAATCATAAACAACTTCCTTCATAAATTCGTTAAATTACATTCACTCTGGTAGTAGAAGCCAAGATTTCTTTCCACATTACCTAAAACATTGATCTTAAAAAAAAAAATAATTAAGACAAATAAAACTTAGTTGAGACTCCATTAAGTAGAGTGTTGACTTCTCTTAATACGCATGTAAACAGTTGTCTGCGTCATGTGCAGGAATATACATGTAGAAAATACTGTTAAATATTGCATAAATAAAGATGGCTTTGATTCAGTCTTTCAAATATCTATTAATATAAAATAACGCATTTCCATTTTTGGATACAACGCCTTTTCAAACAGGCCGGTAGAACGAGTGCAAGTGGGGGGTGGAGTGGGGGGCTCCCTCACCCCACTTTTTGAAGGAATAGTCTTGCTATAGTTTAAATATAAAAATTCATTTATTGCATGGCTGCTTGGTCCCTGAACATTTTGTTGCAGTATGTTTAAACTCTAGCGAATCATTGCATTTAAAAAAGTTTTACCGAAAATTTGTAAAAAAAAAAAAAAAAAAAAAAAAAAAATCCCTCTCAAGTTTAGGCACTTTAGTAGTATTTTTTTCGGGGGGGGGGGGGGGGTTCTTGTTTTTTGTTTGCTTGTCAATTTTTTGGGAGGTTGCTCCCTCCCCCCTTTCAAAAGCACGGGCCTGTCAAAGGCATAATAATGGCTCTTCAAAAGGCATTATAACGCCTTTTAAATTTTTTTCTTCATAGATTGACCCTAATAGGTTTTCGTATAAAAGTCCAAGTATTTAGCATTTTGTCTTTTGAGGTACAATGCAAATAGTGATGACGTTTGTATCGTGAGACAGACTGTTAAAAAAATCCATTTCAATCACAAAACTTCCCCAGCCTAAGTCATGCATGAAACATACTTTGTATTCTTGGTTACATTGTTACGACTCTAACCTAAATCTTCATCAAATGTCACTATGGCCGTTCTCATCAACTCCCCATACTCTATTCTTGTAAGTGTTAAACTGAATTCTTCTGTTAGAAAGCTTTCCAGTTTATACTTATCAGTGTCCTCACTGATGTTTTTAATGAAGACTTTGTTTGGGTACATTGGCACTGGCTTTGAAGGAGGGGGTGGAACATGTCGGCACACCTGAACTTCTCTTCCTTCAATCTGTTGTCTCTTACGCAGTACATTCTCAATGACTAAAAGATTATATATATTGAACTTGTGAATTGCACATAATATTAACACATGCTTGAGTAGAAAAGTGACAGAATTATTTATTAGAAAAAGATAAAGGATGTATTCTTACCTTAGATTAAAAAATACGGACGGGTGAAAATTATTAGGAATTTTTAATTAAATAAAAAAAAATAAAAACTAACCACTTCCATCCTCAAACACTATGTAAAACACGCCGTCCTTTGCATCAATGCTTTTTATATCTCCTCCTCCAGAGCGACGAGTGTTCTCAAAGTACATTTCCACTGTGTCCATGGTTGTTCTTGATGATACACCCCGAACTTCTAAAATATTCTCAGATTCCATTACTTCTTCCTTATCAGCACTGTCAACTTCTAAATTTGATTGAAATTCTTCTACTCCAATTTGAACTCCAGAAAATAATATGGGAATTTTTGCCAAAACCCTCTTTACAGCTTTAATTATAAGAAGAGAAGGTTTTTTTAATTGCTTTATAGATTTTTCTCAAATTTAACTTATCAATTTCTTCATTATAATCAATGAAACGTCATGATTCAGTGGAATCAATTAATTTTTATTTCATTAAATAAACTCTTAGGTAAGTCTGATACTGCAATATATTCCAGGATTAAGTTAAAAATAAAATCTTTTAAATGTTTACCTTTAGGATCTTCAAAAGTGATAACAGCTGACTGTGTATCTAGGTCATACTCAATGTCAGTTATTGAATCACCCCCACTTTTCCTGCGATTCTCAAAGAAAAACAGCAAAGAATCCTCTGATGTACCAGGTGGAATACCTGTAACTTTAATCATAGCTACCTCTGGGGAAAAAAAGTACAGCACAATACTAGGCTACCAATCTAAAGCACATTAAAGCATAGTTAGAACTAAAGCAAAAGCAACGAGTAGGTCTAGACAGGAAGTAGTGATGTTGGGTCAATTCAGGTCAGCAGGTCATAAGCAATAGTATGAGGTATGAACTTCCAATGTTCAACCAGCAGGTAGACAATAAACAAATTTACAATTTCTTTGTCGGTGACTTGAATTTGTCCAAATGACCTTTCGTCAAGGCCATGACATACTCTGTGGTTACAAGCCAAGTCGATATACCGATACTGAACTAACGGAATAATCGGAACATCACATTCAAATACTTTTTCGTCAAGTCGAGAACAACATTAGCCTTTTCTGTCAAGTCAAGAAAATATTATAAGAAAAGAATGTTTATTAATACAAATTTAATTTAACAGTATCCAAGATTCATGAGCAAAAGTCGGTATACTGATCGTTTTTCATTAATGGAACAATCGGAAAATCAAAAGGCGTTTTCCGTGAGGTTGAGAACATCACTCGGCCTTTTCCACCAAGTGGAGGAAAACCAAGGTTTTACCTAAGTCTTTGCTTGACAAAAGAGGCCGAGAGATTTCCGATTGTCAACAGAATGCATTCAAATTTTAGTTTACGTGGTTAATGTCATTTATACATTTAAAAGAAACTATAATAAGGCTATGAACATGTTTATAAATGTTAGTTAACAAAGACCTTCGGAGTATTCTTGAAAATAAACCAAAGGTCAAGGTCATTTGGACTGTAACGCTGATATTTTTTCAACATGTCTTCTAAAGGGTCAAAGAATATGTGTCGGTACCATGGTGTAGGTCAAAGGCCAAAGAATATGTGTCGGCACAATGGTGTAGGTAACCCTGGTATTTTACAAAAGCCATTCTTGAGCCAACTGTCAAGTATTTACCTCTAACAGTTCTCAAGATACAAGATGTGAAAGACGGACAGACAGACAGATGGACGGACGGACGGATATCACTACGCCAAGCAAAGCGATCCCTAAATATCACTCTGCTCTGCCGGCGACACAAAAATTGCATCAATGCCCTTTCCTTTCCTTACAAATATTACCTGTAGGCCTATAATATTTATATGTTTAACATGTATATGGCTGGGGGAGATTATTTATTTATAATAAATACAACTGATTTTTCTCGCCATGTGGGTGGGGGCAGTTTTCATTTATTATAAATATAATTGATCTGGCCCTCCATGGTGCTCAAATTTATTCTGATGGATATCTTTATGCCCCCATAATTTGACTTGACAGTTACTTTTATGATTAATATTATTTATCGTAGTTTCACTATCCGTGGATTTTTTTTTTTTTTTGCTTGAATACGGTAATGCTAGTATAATATTTAAGAACGGATATTTCGATTCCCCTAACCTGCGTATTTTGTAATGGAATATAATTATGATGTAAATTTTGACAAAAATGCATTACGAGAATTACGTAGAATTAAAACGACAGATAAAATGTGCCGTTGAAATGTTGAATGAAATATGGATCGAGATATCGAACAATAATCAAGCTCAAAAGTCCATTGAAACAATATAAAGTGGGAGCAGAGCTAAAAACAGCTCTGTAAAAACATCAAATGTGGGATAAGGTGCCATGGAGGAGTCAGCATCCCCTGTCGACCGGTGTCGCATAATATTTGGTCCGCTTTGTTTAAAGGTCCGGGGGGACCTAATACGATAACATATAAGGTCCGGCCTGCCTCTATAATAAAAGGTCCGCCTTCGGTTTAATATGCAGATTTTTCTCCTTTATTGATTCGAAATTAATTTGCTTTATTAATCTTTTTAAATTATTTAAGGTATAGTTGTTATAAAAGTGTCCCTCCCAGCAAAATGGAGTTCCAGGGACGTCAGGGGTGTGCAATTAAAAAATTCAAGTACTAGCCCACGGGCTAGTGGCAGCAATAAAGTTACTAGCCCCAAGTAAAAAGTTACTAGCCCAAATATAGAGGCAAAAATTAAAAACTAATTTTGAAAAAAAAAGTTAATTGTTGAAAAAGTCAGGCTACTAACTAAAGGTAATTCTTTTTAAAATTAAAGTTTAATTCTCACTAGTGAAATTTAATCATATATAAATTAATGATTATGATAGAAAATGAAAAAGAATTTAAATCTTCCCTTTTTCTGATCATTGCACTAGTTCATCTAAAACAAAGCAAAAATCATTTTGTTTTCATCTTAACATACTTGAATCATTAAATGCACTGGAAATATATTTTGTTTTAATTGCATAACACTTATCTTTCAGTTGATTGAGTGATTGTAAATAATTTAATGAGATATCTGCATGTATTTACCATAAACAAAGGAATGGAGAAAATTCGGATTAGGAAAAAAACGATCGTTTTTTTAAGTAAATAACTCAGGTAGTACTGCAAAATGGATAAGATTATGGAGATTTATGGACAATAGGATCAAGCAGCCTGGAAAATTTTCACTGGTTGGGAATTTAAGAGCAAAAAAATGAGTGAAATTACCGGTTGTGCTTTTCATATATTACATGTGTAGTTTTAATTTCTACTAGCCCAAGGGGATACCTCCGTGCAGAAAACCACTAGCCCGACACCCGAAAATGGTAGCCCCGGGCGTCGGGCGATGCTAATTGCACACCCCTGGACGTACATGTATACATGTACATTGTATATATACTAAAAGGATCAAGTCTTGCGATATCTCGCTAGTTGCTGGATTTCGTTAGCCAATTTTAATTAATTATATTTCTAATACTATGATATATTTCAGTACAAAACCTCAAATTATCTATCAAAAAATTATTCAAAATTTGATGTTAGCACTGATTAAGTGTTAGCTCCTTATCGTAGTACATACCTCCTAGGTAGTGCACAAAACAAAAAATATAAAGATGCAAAGATCTGTTGATCGAGTTACCTTATGGGAAAATCAAGTACGACATGTGTCTTTTATAGTTTAAGTGATATCAATATTATCATTGCAAAATAAAAAAAATACATATATATATAATACGCATACCTTCACTGGCACATTGTTCAGTATATGGTGTTCGTAAGTCCAACAATGATCATTTCATTACAGTCTCTTTCCTAACAACGTTCGACTTCCACTTCCCAAAAAGAATTTTCATATCTTTCGAAAGATATTTCATTATATTATTAATAATAATTATGCATAATTCTTACGATTCATATTGTACCTAACTATAAAATAATTGGAGGGTCACTGTGGCAGGGACTTGTGTTACGGTGTACTAGCCTATCCCGTTGTTGTTAAAACAACATGTCTGTGCTTTGGGGGATAGGCCTATTGTCTCATCTGACGAAACTTGAAGTCGCATATCCCCCGTGTTTTTATAACCATCGTTTCTTATCCAGTTAAAGACTAACGATTATTTCATTCTACTTTATTACCCCGGGGTTAACACTGGTTAAGGAAGATGTGCATTAATTGGCAAAATCAAACCAAAGTCAATCGAGTTGAACATTTTAAGCAATAAAACTACCCCCCCCCCCCCAAAAAAAAGGAAAAGAATATAAATGGTGTTGTTGTATTTTTGGTGGGTGGGGTATAGCAAAATTATACTGATACATGTCAAATAGTTTAAATAGTATTGATGTTGTAGACTTTCCTCCCGCATTAATATTTTTTCCCGGAAAAACGAGCTTGGGTTTAAAAACCCCTTCCCCTTTTGGAAAATGAGCCTAGCATAGGATTTTATTTCCGTATTTTTTTTTAATATTGTTTATTTCATTCCCTACATTTTGTAGTTTTCATTTCTGACGTTTTAAAATTTTCATCTCTGACATTTATCATCATAAAGTACTTTTCCGGCAATGAAAACAAAATTGAAATTTCCCTTCAAAAAAAAAAAATTAAAGAATAAATCAAGAATAATTCATTGATTTCCAAATAATAAGTTCTGTTTATATTTAAAAGAATCTTATGATGATTTTATCCTCGGACACATGTAAGTGTAAGTTGTGAATTTTTGTTCATCTTTTCAAATCAAGATAATCAGACTGAATTTGAGATCAGAAAGGTTAAGATAGAATTTATGACATACAGAAACTATGTTTGAGGGAATAAAGTAATCAGAGTTGAGGGGATTCTGTTTTTCGGTGCTTTCAATCACATATAATTCAGTGGGCATTAAAATTTGGTGATAAAAAATTGCATGTTTTACTATTGAAATTATTGCATTTTATTACTGAACTTTGTATTTTTACTAGACTTAGTGTTGATTGTATTGTAAAATGAAAACAAAAAATGTCGGAAATGCAACGCAAAATTTCGGAAAAGACATGCAGCGAGCTTGGAAGAAAAACCCCGGCTTTATTATCCACCATAGGAAATACTCAGTACGCTTCAGTACAGAAATTTCTCCTTTTCCACCTTCTTACTAGGGAGAGTCTTATCCACCCATACTATTTACAGAGGGGTTTTACAGAGCAACTTGACATGTATTTCCCCCTAAAATAAAAAGGAAAGTGTCTGTTGAGATCGTGACTGATATAAAAATTCATAAAACTCCACCAAGTCGTGTTCTTTTGTTAATATTTTTTATATTTATTTTGATTTTGGTTTAAATTAGATTTTCTACGACTTTTAGCGGCTATTTCCTTTTCATTTATGTGTGTGTGATGGGGGGGGGGGTTATAGTTCTCTTGTTGCACGTCATCAACATTACTAATTAAATAATAATATATATCCTTGGTCCCTTCAGACAGATGTTTATGGTTGCATATAGATACACAATACAGTAGACACATCTCCTGCAAACGTACATAGAGTGGATAATTAACTGAGATTAAAGTTTTGTCTTTTTGTCAGCATATTAAATGAAAAAAAGTACACTACTACATGTAGTATATATGCAATTCGTATGCACAATTAGGCCATTCCAAGAGTTTTTCTAAGTTAATTTAGCGTTCATCCTAAAATTAAAAACCTAATTATCTTTTTACCCTGGAAACAC